TGTGTGTGTGTGTGTGTGTGCATTTGTGTGTGTGCAGGGCTGGGGAGCAGCCACATCCTGGGGAGCTGCACCTGAGCTGGATGTCCCTGCAAGCCATGACATAGTCCCTGGGGAGAGGCAGATGGAGCCCGATGGGCAGAGGGTTGTACATAACCTTCTCTGCCCCACTGCAGAACCGTGGCAGGGCATCCTGGCAGGAACTGGCTCCTGGCAGGTGATTTACCAGCAGGGTGATGGTGCTTCTGCTCTCTCCTGCAGACCCTGCCCCAGGTGTTTGGGGCAGGAGAAGGGCAGAAGTTCACCTCTGCTCTGCAGCAACTCTACGTGGCAGTGACACAGCAGGAGGCCAAGCAGGTTCGGAAACGGCAGCACTCAGGTGAGGAGCTCCATGGCCATGGGATGGGGAGAGGCTGAAGCACCTGGTCTCCCTGCAGCTAAGCCCCAATCCTGGGGGAAGCAGAGTGGGGTCCTGGGGCAGCTGACCTCATGAAACAGTCTCCCTGTTTGCTTCCCCACTATGGGCAGAGCTCCCCCCTCCAGGTGCCATTCCTGGTGTGGGTTTGTGCGATGCCCTTTGCTCCCTCCACTCAATCCTAAATTGCATCTCTTTCTGCTGGTACCAGAGGACACTGAGGGCCCAGCACCCACTGCAGAAACCACAGGACACTCCTGTCTGCTGTCTCCATCCCAGGAAGATGAAAGAACATCTTCCATCGAGGGAACCATGGTGAGTGCAGCTCTAAGAACAGCTTCTCCATGCCAATGGCAGGACAGGACCTGCACCTCCCTTCTCACATCCAACATGGATGGACTGGGGGGGAGCATCTCAGCTCAGTTCCTAGCCCACACGTGTGTGTGGTTTGCACACCACCGTGGGGGTGGGGGCTGTCACTGCTTGCACACACACACGTGTGTCCTGCATGCGCCCTGGGGAGGACTGACACTGCCTTCTCTTTAATTCCAGCCCGTCTCCTCCCCTGCTCAGAAGCCCCGGCTGCCTGTGGCCAAGGCCAAGCCGAAGAAGGCAAAGGGGCTCTTCAGCTGAAAGGACACTACCCCAAGGGTCTCTGCTCCTCTGACATCCAAAAGAAGCAGTACAGAGCACTTGTTCATTCTCTGCCTCCCCATCTGCATCTCTGGTACACCCTGGACTGGACATGGTTTCCTCCAGAAGTGACTCCAGCTGGGGTGATGGGGCATCTTGAATAGTGGCTCAGGAACCTCTTTTCTGCCTCTTCCCTGGTGTAGAGCTTGCCCAGGCCGCCCCATGATGGAGCTAGCGTGGGACCTGGAGGGCATGGGAGGGATTCTGCCAGGTGGGTGCAGGACAACAGGGACTCCAGCAGGGCTATGGGGTTTGGCCGCTCTCATGTGTGTTTGCAATAAAGGGCCGTGTCTGGATCAGCTTCCTCTAGTCCTGCTCTGTACCTCATGGGCCTGCAGTGTCCAGGCAGGGGTGCTGCCCCCAGCACTGCTAGGTTGCCCTCAGGCCCATCCCACTGTTCTAGGGGCTTGGTAATGGCTCTGGACAGTGATGAGATAACAGCATTACCATGGGGCAGTATGGCACCTCCCAGCCTATGCTGTGCCTCATCCTGAGCAGCAGCATGTGGGTTGGGGTGTGCAAGAGGGGAACCCCAGATCCTGAGGGCACAATGTGCTAGAGAGCCTGGAGCCCAAGTGCTCCTTGTCCCATGCCAGGGACGCATCATGTGCTGGTGCCTGAAGCCCTTGTAGTAGCAGGTTGATAAAGGCAGCCTAGCTGTGCCAGGGGTCACCCTCCACATGCAGGCATCTTCCTCAGGGTTAGCAGGCAAGTGATAGTGGATTAGTCCATCCTCTGGCCTTCAAGGAACAGGGGACAACCAAGCCACTACCACAGTGAAAGCTCCCAGGCCTGGGAGCAACCCTGGAGCATGTTACAGATGCACCCTGGACACAAAGCCTCACCTCTGCCCTTCCACACCCTGTGCATCCATCCATCCATCCATCCATCCATCCATCCATCCATCCATCCATCCATCCATTATTTAATCCCTGCTCTCCTCTTCTAACCAATGTCTCTGCATGCTTCCTCTGGGGCTGGGACCCCACTCCGTTGCCCAAGTTGGCTCCTGAAGTAGCAGGCAGAGTAGCTGCAGCCCACAGTGCTGCCCTCCTGGGGCAGGGACCCATGCTCCTGCCTGCTCCTCAGGGTTGGGCTGGCTGCTTGCTCTCCTGGGAGGCAAGGGGGTAACAAAAATATCTGGAGCAGTCCCTGTATCTATAGAAGGGGAATGAAAGGGCCTTTGCTGGTCCATGGCTGGCCAGTCCCAGGGTCAGAGCATCTGGTTGCTTTTTATATTTCCTCTCCAAGGGAGCAGCATGTAGGGCAAGGTGGATGGTGAGAAGGGGAAGCCATGGGATGGGGAGCTTGTGTTGACAGCCATAGCTACATATCCTACCTTCCCCCATCTGCCAGCTTCTTACCCTGGCAGTTTTGGGTCTGCCTGCAGGGCACTTGCCCCCAGGGAGGGTTCTGCTATGGGCTGGATAGGACCAGGGCACCAGCTTAGCAGCTTTATGTTTTATGTGTCTTCTGTCACCAGGTTGTCCCCTGATGCAACCTCTGCGCCACCCATGTGGGCTCCATCTTCTGACCTGGGAGCTGCTCTGTTCCAACCCAAGTCCCCCAGCTCTCTGCTGGGTCTTGGAGTTCATGCTGTGCGCTGTGCAAGGTGGCACCTGCAGGAGGAGGGCTTATCACTCCAGCAAGGGCATTTGGCTCATCTGTCTCCATCAGGGCTGGGGGAACATCACATGGGGGATGACACATTCCCATCCTGGCTGTGCCAGTGGCTGGTGGACTCTATAGGGGAGCAGGCAGTGCAAACCAGCACCTGTACCTCTTGCTTGTCCCAGCTACCAGCTGTACCCTGGCTGTCACTGTGCTTCTCCCTTAGCCTCAGCTCCAGGGGTGCTGCAGGGGTGTTGCTGAAGAACCTGGTCCCCCGTCAGAGTTCGTCCCTGCAGGGAGCCCTGTGGGTCTGTGCCCAAGGGGCAGATGAGCACCCCGATGGGCACGGGCTGGGAATAAAGACATGCTGCAGGCACAGGTCCTTCTCCACTCACCCTGCCCCACAGGTGGGGCTGCAGGAGCATGGATGGGAGGTGGATAACAGCAGGAAAGTGAAGACATCAGTGGGAAAAAGATCTCTGCCAATGCTCCCCAGGCCACCGCAGGGACCCCAGCCACCAAGGCTCCAGCATCAGGCCACTGGTGCCTCCCTGGCCCAGGTTGCCGCCTGCTCCGGGGAGTGTCACCACTCATTGTCCCATCCTGTCCCGCTGGGGTCTCCTTCCCTGTCCCCACCCCCTCCTCCCTGGAGCCGGCTGGATTTGAGCTCTCGGCACACATTAAAGGCCACAAGTTCGGCCTTGGCCTCCATAAATTTGATTCCATAAATATTAGTTTTCGCAGGATTTAATGAAGCCGTTATGCTGGGCACGGCCCAGCACCCCGACCCGTGCCCTTAATAAGGGCTCTGTGGCCTCGATTAAAGGGACCTTTCAATCGCTGTCAAGTATTTTTAGAAAAGGAAAAGAAGGAAAAAAAAAAAAAAAGAAAAAAAAAAAAAAAAAAAAAGGAGAGGGAGA